TCCCTCTGGCTCATTCTTGTCCAGACCGTTTTCCTTTGGTGTGATGAGCTCCCTTCAGCCTTCAGTGGGCTGAATGGCCGGAGTCCTCGGTCTTTGTTTCCCTGAAAATATCTGTATTTCACCTCCATTCTCGCAGTTTCACTTGGTGTAGAAGTGGAGGCTGGCGCTGAAGATACCATCCCACTGTCTTCTGCTTCAGCTGTTTCTGTGAGGTCAGCCACCGACGTCATCCTTGCCCTTATTAGGAAACCTGTGTTTTTATCAGGCTGTCTATGATTTTGTTTATAACTGTGTTTTTCTGCAATTTTACTACGATGTGTTGAGGTGTGCATTCATTTTTATTTATTCTGGGAGAGACTTCTCCGGTTTCTTAAATCTGCGTGTCAATGTCTGCCGAGGGTTTTGGAAAATTTTCATCATTATAGTTTCAGATATTGATTTTCCCCCTTCTCCATCCCCCCTCCTTCTGGAACTCCAACTAACCATACATTAAAAGTTGTCACTCCGTCTTCAGGATCTCTTACACTCTTGTCTGCTTCTCACACTGCCTCTGTGCTTCTGTCTGAACGCTGCCATCTCGTCCGTCTTCTTCTCAGAGGGAAGCCTTTGAGCTGGCAGCATCCCCCTCCCCTGGAAGCAGCCTGGGAACAAGATCCGGGGACCCAGGTGTATGTCCTCTCCAGCCGTGTTCCATGTGCTGCTGGCCCATCCACTGAGCCCTTAAGTTTGGTTACTCTATCTTGCAGTCCTAGAATTTCTATTTAGGTCCTTTTCAGATCTGCAGTGTCACTTTTTATGGTTTCCCATCCCATGCTAAAATGTTCAAGTTTACCTTTTACCTCCAAGATCATCGTCGACACAGCTGGGTTATTACCTGGAAATTCCAGTATCCAGAGTTTCTATTGTCTGTTTTTCCTGCTGATCCTCAACCATGTTATCTTGTCTGTTGACCTTTGGGTGCTGGGCGCAGAGCTGATTCCAGGTCTGGGATCATAACTCACCCAGGAGGCTCCTGATGATTCTGGAAGCGCCTGGAATCCCAAACCCAATTTCAGAGACTGAGATTTCTCCATGTTTCTGGATCTTTTCTTAAGTTGTATCTCTTGTTGGATGTCTGTCTTTTAATTCATATGTTGTAACAATAGGACTTATTTCTGTTGCATTTTTTATATTTATGATTTGCTCCCCTTTTTCTTTTGTCTTTCTTATTGCTTTTCACGGGACAGGTTACATTTTATTTTATAACTTTTATAAGAAATTACACTCATTCACTTATTCAACACATACTTATTGAGTGCCTACTTTGTGCCAAGACAGGTTGTGGGTGGTGGACACAGCATGGTCTGGGTGTGTTTTGTGATGGTTGTTCTCAGGACCTGCTCTGAGCACAAGACCCCCGGCCACGGGCTCCTCGGCATTTCCTCTTGCGTCCCTTTCATCCCCTCCCCCCACACCGGTTTCACCTAGAATTTTATTGGGGTTTGTACAGCTGCATTTCCTTCACCTGCGTCCTTTTCGTTGGTGGTGGTTTGGTCCTGAGACAGGGACAGACTCTGCAAAGGCATTTGCCCGCTCATTTCCTCGGCAGCTCACAGCTTTTCCTGGGTTAGTTTTTCTTTTCTGGTTTCTCCTCCGAGAATGGTTTCAGTGCAGGTGTCTGGGAGGGACACATTCTGAGGATTGCTGGAAATGTCTTTATTATGCTCATATTTGAAAGACAATTTGGCTGGATAGGAAATTCTAGATTTCTTTTTCTCTCCATACTTTAAAATACCACCATATAGTCTTCTCACCTGGTGCGTGAGAAATCTGGTGTCATTGCGATTCTTGTTCCACATAGGTGACCTGTTTTTCTCTGTGGAACTTTCCCTCTCCGGAAACTTTTCTTTGAGACTCGTAAACTTCACTGCTGTGCATCAAAGTGTGGGTTATTTCTCATCTTGCCTCTTCGTGGTCTTCCAGTCGGAGGCCCTCCATCTTTCTTTAACTCTGGGAAGTCTGTCTTCACTCTTTCTTCACTGTTTCAAGTCTTCCCCTCCATCTCCTTTTTCCTCCTGTTCCAGGACACATGTGCACTTCTGCCTCTTGCCCCTGCATCTCTCAGCTTTATCTTGCACTTCCCATCTCTTCACTCCTCCACGTCACCTCTGGGGACAGCTCTCGAAGGGCCTTCCAATACACTAACCTGCCCTCAGTTGGGTCAGTTTACACTGCTGGTCATCTTAAGAGTGATATATGCTGCCACTTCCAGGGTACTGAGTCTGCACCAAGCACTGCTCTCAATGTGGTACATATATCAATAGATTGAATCCTCACAACAACCTGATGAGAGGGCTGCTGTTATTTTCCTTATTTTAGAAGAGGAAACGGAGGCACAGAGATGTTAGGTAACCTGCCCAAGGTCACACAGCTGGAAAGCAGCTATTTATTTCAACGTGCCTAACATTGATTTTTGTCTAGCTTTGTGGTTTGAAGCAATTTAAGACATACGGGAAAATTGCAAGAATAGTTCAGAGAGCTGCTGTTCCTCCCTCACAGATTCCCTGCTGACAACATCTCACCCGTGGTTCCCGATCACAGCAGGAGCCAACACTGGCGCCATACTGTCAGCTAAGCCGAGGACCTCATTCGTGCTTCACCAGTTTTTCCCAAATGTCCTTTTACTGTTCCAGGATCCCACGCTGCATTTAGTTGTTATTTCTCTCAGCCTCCGCCAGCCCGTAAAACCCCTTCAATCTCTCCTTCTCATTCATGATCTTAATACACTTGAAAAGTACCATCGGCTGTTTTGCAGAGCGTCCCTCGATTTGTGTGTTCGGGGGGCTCTCACTTTTGCAGTGAGGTTATGTGTTTTTGGCAACAACACTGCGGAAATGCTGTTGAGACCCTCTCGGCGTCACGTCACGGAGCTCGCGATGCTGATGTGTTACTACTGGTGACATTGACCTTGATCACTGGGTAGGTGGTGTCTACAGGGTGTCTCCACATAAAATTACTGTTTTCTTTGTAGATAATTAATATAGTGGGATAATATATTGTAGATAATTAATAATCAGTGTATTTAAGACTATGCAAACTGCATTTCCCTTCAAGCTTTCCCCTATGAATTCCGTGTCCCCTGGTGGATCCTGTCCACAGCATGTCCACTGCAGAGTCTGCCCGAGGGTGGTTTCATTTTCCTCTTTCCGTCCACGTTGATTCGCTGGAATTCTGCAGTCGGGAGGAGCTGTCCCTCACCCTCCACTTGTTTATTTAACCATTGTCTTGCTTAGATCAGGAAGGACATACAGATACTCACTTTATTCTCTGGCCCACAATCCAGCGCTTTCCACGTTGTTGCTGAAACAGCTCCAGGGTTTGCTGTTCGGAGCTCCTCCGGGTTGCCTCCTGCGCTCTTTCACAGCCTTTCTCTGGTTTTGTTTGTGATTTTGAGCACTGCCTTACGTTCTAGCGCACAAGACGGTCCAGGCCCACCTTGGGCATCTCCTTCCCTGGGCCTGAACTGGCCATTTCTCCAGAGGACCCTGGTTCCTTCACTGGAGGACGGTCTGAGGAGCCCGGATCTGGGTGCAGATGTGCTCCTTGCTGCGGGCATTGTGGCTGCTGGGCCCTCTCCACAGAGATGGGAAATGCATGCACGCATACTACTCCACACACACAGACATCTGTTGGTCCCTGTGTTTCTGGATACAGACTAAAAGCTGCGAGTTCATGCTGACCCCTGAGACTCCCATATGACTCTGTGGGGCTCGTGCAAGGCCTCCCCTTCCTACTCCTGACGTCGTTCTGCAACAGAGAGAATCCAGCTCTTTTTTACAAAGATTGACATATTTGTTCAGTCCCCAACGGCAGGTAAAAGAGGTTCAGAATTTCTAGAGCATCGCCCTGAGGATACCCCATTGCTAACTACAACATGCGCCAGCAGCTCCTTGGTCTCCAGCCCACATCCCCTCCCGCTGCCGTCTCCACGGCGACAGTGGTGCCCTTCCCCTCCTCTGCCTCCCCGCGTGCAGGCCAGGTTGTGACGTTGGATTCATCTCTTAGGTGTGGATTCCATCTCAAATTTTCCCCAGTCCTGAGAGGTTTAAGTTTCTTGTTTGTTTTCGGGTATGTGAAGCATTACTTTGGTTCCAGCTGTTGAATTTCTATAAAAAGAGAGACCCAGAGACGTCTGCCCCCTCCCACCCTGGTAGGCAACCACTCTCTTCACCTGTGGTTTCTCCTTCCTGTACTGCATTTTCACAAGTGAGCGCACACACATGTGTTTTCTCCTATCACTTTCCTTCTCAGATTAAAGGCTGTGCGCTCAGATGAGCTTTTGTGCTTTGCTTTCTCACTTGAGACGTGGCCTGGGAACCATGCATCAGTTTATAGCCATCTGCCCCATTCTTTTTCCCAGCTGCTTAGTACTCTACTGTGTGCACCAACCACGATTTATTCAACCATCTTTTACGAGCAGACATTTAGTTTCTTCTAATGTTTTGCAAGTACAAAAGCGTTGCAATGGACACCTGTACAGAGTTCATTGACCTTCCCGCCTTCCAAGGACGCTGGGCCTGGTCCCTACACGAAGGAACGTGTCTGGGCTCGGGGCCAAAGACGGCCACTTCGGCCTTGACTCTAAGGCACAAGTTACAAAGAATATGTCCTGCATCATGTTCCTTGTCTGGGCTGGCCACCCCGACGGGCACCTGACTGGAGTGTAGAAACATCCCATTCATGGGAACAAGAAGAAATAACTCAAAATATCCAAATGTCTACAACCTTGAGTCAAAACCTAGAGAAACCTTAGGATAAAAGGGAGTCACAGACATAGAACAGTTGGGAGTCTCGCTGAGGAGAGGACGCTTTGCCTCAGACCCAGACAATCGGTGCTCCTGGCTGCCGTACAAACTATGGGGAGTTCCCCGGCTGATTGCGGTGCGGATGTTGTAAGTGCCGATTTGTTGTTCCCCTTTATCCCTGCTCCTTGTTCTGTTTCCCTTTAGCGATAAACTTTGATTGCTTAAACAACCAAGTAGCCTTGGCGGTACCTGTCATTCCTTGCCCTTTGCGGCTGCAGACAACACGCCCTTGTGCATGTGTACTTCCACATTGTTGGAGACGTATGGTGAGGCAGATTCCTAAAATGGGATTGCTTGGTGTAAGGTGAGTGCACGTGTATTTTTGCTAGGTAGGAGCAAATTTCCTCCAGAATTGTACCGTTTGCATCCCCCAGAGATGCAGGAGTGGGCTGGCTTCCCAGCAGCTTCACCAACAGAGTGTGTCACATTTTAAAATTTTTGCCAGTTTGACAGGTGAGAAGTGAAATCTCAGTCAATTTAATTTGTATTTTTCTAATGATGAGTGAGTTTAATATTTTTTCCATATATTTGAGGGTCACTTTTTTTTAATGTAGATTGTCTGTTCATGTCTTTTCTCCATTTTTCTTATTCAGCTTTTGGTCCTTTGTCCTTCAAGGTTTCAGATTTCTTGACCTACGAGGGATATTAGCCCTCTGTCTGTGGTGTGTGTTCCGAATATGTTCTCCTGGTTTCTCAGTGATCTTTTTCCTTTGTTTACAGTGTTTTTTGTCATGCAGATTTAAACAACTGTTTACGTAGTCAAATTCATTCACCTTTCTTTTGCTGCATCTGCATTTTCAGTCTTAGAAAGCCTTTCTTTGGTGCCTGTATGGTTTCAAATCTGCATGCAGATCCCAGCCTGTTTCTCTACAAGTCCACCGTGACTGCGCTGGGCTCCGTCGGCATTCGGGCGGCCCTGGACTTCCTGTTCCGTTCCTGGGCCGTGTCTGTTCTGGCCCCACACACGGAGTTAACGTGGAGGGCGTGCCCAGGACTGAAACTTGGCTGTTACTCCTGCTCAGGGTTTGCGTCTTTAACTGTGTGAATAGGGCTTTTGAGAGCTGAGGGTCCATCTGGTGTGATGCTTCAGTGCCCACACTCCGTCCCTCAACTGTGTGTTTTTCTTTAAAGTCTCCCTGTGCTCCAGGTACAGGGGAGCTGCTCCGTTTCCTGGGGCTCCCTGACATGAGGGCGTTGGAGTGAGGGTGCAGGGCAGGCCTCCTCGGCGCCAAAGCGAGCGAGGGGCCCAGGCAGAGGTGTCCGGGTCCTGCCTGGCATCCATCCTCTCCACCTGGGGTTCTGGCTGAGGCAGCAGGGCTGTGAGCTGTGTTACCATCTGAACCATCAGGGGGTTTCCATCTCTGTCTCTCCTTTCTCCCTTGGATGCCCCCAGTCTCCACTCCTGGGGAGCCCTGGGCTTTCTTCTGGAAGATCTCTGAGAAGTGGGGACATGCATTTTCTAAGTTTTGTGGGTGTGGGCCTGGTGATGTGAACATCACAGTCATCCTAGTGACTCTCTGGCTTTTTTAAAGGAGAGAGACTCTGGGTGTTGTTGGTCTAACCCTGGAGACAGGGAGAGGAGGGCGGAGGCACAGAAGACCCTGAGAAAGATTCAAAACCAAACAATCTTTTTGGATCCTTAAAGCAAAACCTCAAACTGTGGGTTTCATGTCAAACTTACTGCCAGGAAGCAGCAAAACACAGAGGCTGGCTCCCAGTACGTGCCTGGGCGGGTCTGCGGGTGGGATGGTCCACCTTCCCGCCTGGGATCCACCCGCTGCCGCAGGGGGAGCAGGAGCCGGGAAATCACGTGGCTGCTAATGGGAAGCAGAGCCAGGGACTTTGTTTTCATGACTACGGTCTGTTTTTCCCCGTGTTTGGGATTGTTTTCCTTCCTAGGACTTGAACATTTTTGGACTTGAATTTAGGAATTTCAGTTCAATTTCTCTGAGGCTTAGCTTACTGAGGGAAAGGATTAATTACCGTCCTGTGATGTTTTCCTGGAATACCGGATATTGGGAAAGGGTTGGTGTTCAGATCTGGGCATTTTGAATGCTGCTGTCACAGCCTCAGGGCCTCTCTACGCTGCTGTTGGATCTGAAAGTGTAACTTCTGTTACCCTGAACTGGGGAAAGTGCTGAGGGAAGACCTGGGCTGGAAAACAGGACGGAAGCCAACTGGGGCCCAGAATACAACGTGGGCTTGTCCATGTCAGGGTGTTAAGGAAGCAAAAGCTGCCCCCACTCCCACCGCCAAGCTCCCGCCTGGCAGCCCCGGGAGGACACCCCCAGGGCTGATTTTGTGGGGGAGGTGTCCAGGAGAGGAAAACTGTCCCCTACCCATCTTGAGTTCTTGTGGCAGGACTAATAATAAAATTAACATATGTCGAACTAACAGGAGAAATACCAATTTAATACATATGCACGGGAGATCATTAAAATAATGCTCAGAGAGTGACCGAAAAGCAGGCAGCTTTTGTATCTTTTTATGTAAAGAAAGAATAAATTTGTGAGGATTTGACAGGACAAAAAAACTTAGGTTTGGGTGCTTAATTAGTAAAGAATTTAATCGGAGTTTGGTTTGGGGTAGTAAATTAGTAAAAACAGGAACAATGCTTGTTTATGTAGACTTAGCCCTGAATTGCCTCACTCTCGTGACAAAGTTGTCTCTCTTGGCTTCCAGGTGCAGGGAAGGGAAAGAGCAGTGTAGAGGTGTCCTTCTTGCACTGGCTGCTTTTCAGGTAACTTGAACCCAAAGTAATCAATATGCCACTGAGGCAGGTCTTGGGCCCTGGGCCCCAGCACAGGCCTGGCCCCGTCCTGATGGATGGCGCTCCCGAGCCAGGGTCAGCTTGCTTGGCCACTGGCTTAGCATCAGATCAAGTTCATCAGGACAAAGGCTGGGCCTGGGGGAAGGAGTGGCTGTTGGGGACTGCAGCAAACACCTCTGGAGGAAGGACCCTGAGCTATGCTTTGGACAATGTAGGGGGTTCTTCCGTGAAGCACTGAAGGGTCTGAGATTTCACCTACTTTGCAAGCTGAGAAGTGAGCCTGCCGCAGTTTCAGAAGACAAGCCCAGGGTCCGGGACAGACAGTCGACACCTCACAGCAGGAGCAGTAAGGACACATCACCCAGGGGCTCTGCCAGGGCCAGCCCACACCTGCCTGCATGGTTCATGGAGAGGAGGGCTGGGGGGAGGGGACCAGGCACTTCTGTACTGAGCATGACCTTTGCCCCAGGGAAACACTATGGTAATTAAACTGGACAGGAGACAAACTTGCTCTCTGCTCCAGGGGGTGACACTGTTTCCATCTTCTAAGGCGGTTCACGAGGAAAACGTCCTCAAAAGAACAGTCGGGAAACAAGGGGCGAGCCGCAGGCAGCGTCCCCCAGCTCTTCCCTCCAGCTGGCCCCTGGTCTAGGGGGTGCGGGTCCCCGAACTCTCACCCCGCAAGCAGGTCTGCCGCCGCCTCTGCCCGCCAGGCAGGCTCATGGGGTAGAAGTCTTCAGGGCAAGGTGGAGGGAGCTGCCTTCCAACTGAGGGGGCTGGGGGCAGCCTCGCCAGGGCCCAGAGCGCAAGGGTAATGTCGGGGGCCACCTGTGCCCGCTTTTCTGAGTCGGGCTCTCTGTCCCAGCAGAGGTCACGGGTCACAGGCCGAGGACACATTCTCTATCTCTGCCTCCCCTTCTTTCTCAGCAGGGTCTCAGCGCAGAGTAGGGGGGGCACCCCCAAAGCAGCCCCCGCATGACCAAACCAACTGGCTGGGTCCCTTGCGCTCATGCTCTGATTCTGTCATGCAAATCTCCGCTGACCTTTTAGGGCCCGTGGGCCCCGAGCCAGCGCCCCGCCCACTTCCGGCCGCAGCCCGGGCCTCCGGGAGGCCCCCCCCAACTCACCTCGCACACCAGGGCAGGAGCCCACGCATAACTTCGGGGAAACGGAGGGGCGGGGAGTTTCGGATGTGGCAACGACGCCCTCGTCCCCGAGGCCGTCCTGCCCCGCCCCCACTCCCCGAGAGCCCCGATCCAACTCCCCGCATGTCCCCACCCCAGTCCTCGCGTGCCTCGACCAGTCCTCGCATGCCTCGACCCCAGTCCTCGCGTGTCTCGACCCCAGTCCCCAAGAACCCCGACCCCACTCCCCGCGTGCCCCCACCCCAGTCCCCGCGTGTCTTCACCCCAGTCCCCGCGCTCCCCTTGCCCCCGTTCCCTTTGATCCCCGCCCCTGCCTGAGGCCTGGACGGGTCTGGGCCCACCCTATATGTGGGTCTTCCCCGGGTCCCTCTCAACAACCACACCCCAGCCGGCGGTCGCCGGGGACACAGGGTGTTTCGTCGCTAGCACCGTGCACCCGGACCCTGGGCCACGCCAGGAAACGTGTCGCCCCCTCCCAACACACCATCCCAGCCGTTCGGACCGCTCAGCCCTTCGGCGCCGCCCGCCGGTGCAGACCCTGACCCCAGGCACTGCAGCCACCCGCCCACCTGCTCCTGGAAAGACGAGCCCGGGTCGCGCGGCGCGGCCCCCTCCAGCCTCGCATGGGCTTGCCACGCCACCTGGTGGCCGCTCGCGCAAAATGCGCCCGCAGGGAGTGGGTAACGTGGGGGTCGGTTAGGGAGCAATAGGGAGGAGGGGGGAAGAGAGGAGGGGCACGAAGGAGGGTAAGGGGGCTCTCTCCCAGAGGAGTTGAGCCTCCCGTCCCAAAATCCCAAAGATAGGGAGGGGGTCAGACCCGGCTCAACCCCAACTCACATCCTGATGGGTCCCCACCGCACTTCTGATCAGACTGAAGCCTAAGCTAGGGGCCGGCCGGGAGAGGAGTGTCTGGACCCAAACGTAAGGGTTCCTGTTGTAACTCGAGCGGTCCTTGTTGGCCCAGAACAGATGGAGAGGGACAGCAGAGATGGCGGGAGGAGCGGGTGTCAGGACCAGTGTCTGTAGGAAGGGACCTCAGTTTCCCCAGGGAGCTGTCGCCCCCATTCTCTGACAGCCAGCAGAGAGCAGAGCCGGGTGCAGAGGGCACTGGGGGGCACCTAGGCGGTTTGGGCTCTGGTTTGGGCAGCCCTGGCTAAAGCCCACTACCCCCAGGAGGAGGAGGTTGGATAAATCCCTCCCAAGAGATGGGGACACACCTGGAGGGAAGACGGACGGGCCCCTTCCCTCATAGAGCTTAAAGTTCAGCAGAGATGTGGCACACATGTAAACAAAGAAGTAAGCAGGGTCACTTCAGAGTTTGGGAAGGGCTGGGAAGCACATGAAGCAGTGTGGTGTATAAAATGTGATGACGGGAGGGAATGCCAAGGAATCTCCCAGGAAGAGAGGTCAGTGAAAGCCAAGGATGAAAGGCCTCTAGGGAAGAGCCTAGGAGACAACCATGCAAAGGCCCTGGGGCAAGATGGGGCTTGTGCCTTCCTCAAGTGGAGGGAACCCAGAGGGGAAGTGGTCAGAGGCCAGGTCTGGATGCAGGGGGGCAGCAGCTCGGGAGGACCACCACAGAACAGTGACATGGCCTGCATTATGCTGGTCTGGTGCTGGGTGAATGTCTGACCTCCCACGCGGGAGCTGAGCTGCTCATAGTCCGAGCAGAACTGCAGCCTCATAGGGGATGCTGGGTGTAAACTGCATGCCACTCCGAAGGCTGTAAGAGCCAGCACAACGCAGGGTCACAGCACACGAGACCCACACAGCAGCAGCAGGTCCCTGCCCCCAGGTCCCAGGGCAATGCACAGTGGCTCATATCACAGCTGCAGGACCTGGGGCCCTGGGACAAGAAGCATAGCTGCCAGTCCCTCCCCAGGATTAGTCAGTCAGTGGTGGTCACCTCTGGTCCCCTTGACTCGCCCACGGGCTCAGCAAGTTCATGTTGGCAACAGACAGCACTCAGTGTCAGACAGCTGGCCCTGCAGTCTGGCCATTCAGCAAGGACACACAGGATGCACAGGTCCCACAGCTTGCAGCCTCTCTCAACAACTTCACCCTCAGCTGAACTCAAATTGTCACAGATTGAGCCACCCTGTAACAGGTCAGACTCCCTGACAAGGGCTGGGACCACATCACTCACTTTGTTCCGCACATGCTGAGTCCACTTGCAAGGTGGGGTGACCCACAGTACTGACTTCTGCCATCCTCCCAGGATCCTGACTCAGATCCTCATCATGCTTAATGGTGAGGAACCAGATGCTTTCCCTCTGAGATCAGGAAAAGGCAAGGATGTCCCCTCTCACCACTCCTTTGCAACATCCACTGCAAATCCAGGAAAATGAACTAAGACAAGAAAAGTAAATTACATATGTGCAGATTGGGAAAGAAAAAATGAAACTATCCTTGTTCACAGATGACATGACTGTTTAGTAGGAAACCCAAAGAATTAACAACAACAAAAACTCCTGGAACTAATAAGCGATTATAACAAAGTTGTAGGGTACAAAGTGAATTGCTTTCCTATATTTGACGCTTACATTTAAAACGTGATACCATTTATTTACATTTGCATATAAAAATGAAATACTTAGGTATAAATCTAACAAAATATGTACAGGATCTACATGAGGAAAACTCCTAAACCTTGTTCAAGGAAATCAAAGATCTAAATAAATGGAGAGATATTCTATGTTCGTTAATAGGAACTCAATATTGTTACAATGTCAGTTCTTCCCAACTTAACCTATAGATTGAATGCAATTCCAATTTAAATCCCAGCGAGTTATTTCGTAGATGCTGCTGACAAGCTGATTCTAAAGTTTATATGAAAAGGCAAAACCCCAGAATGACCAACACCGGACTGAAAAGAATAACAAAGTTGGAGGGCTGACACAATAGGACTTACTATGAAGCTACACTGACCGGGACAGTGTGGTGTAGGCAAAAGCCTAGACAAATAGATCAATGGAACAGAATAGAGAGCACAGATACAGACCCATACAAATGCAGTCAACTCCTCTTTGACAAGGGTGCAAAGGCAATTCAGTGGGGAAAGATAGTCTTTTCAACAAATTGTGGTGGAACATTAGGATGTCCATAAGCAAAAAATCAGTCCAGACACAGACTTTATGCCTTTCACAAAAATTGAATAAAAATTGCTCATAGATCTAAATGTAAACTGCAAAACCAGAAAACTTCTGGAAGATCACATAGAAGAAAATCTAGATGAGCTTAGACTTGGTGACAATTTTTTAGAAACAACATCAAAAGCACAATCCCTGAAAGAAAAAAATTAAGTTGGACTTTATTAAAATTTAAAAATTCTGCTCTACTAAATAAACTTTAAGACAATGAAAAGAGAAGCCACAGAATCGGAGAAAATATTTCCAAAACACATATCCCATATAGGATTGTATCCAAAATATACAAGGAACTCTTAAAATTGAACAGTAAAAAACAAACAACTCAATTTTAAAACTGGCAAAAGATCTGAACAGACACCTCACCAAAGAAGATATACAGACAGTAAACAGCATTTGAAAAGATGCCCAACATCGTATGTCATTAGGGAATTGCAAATTAAAATAACAGTAAGATACCAATAGAATGGTTAAAATCCGAAAATCTGACAATACCAAGTACTGGCAAGGATGGGAAGCAACCAAAATTCTCATTCATTGCTGGAAAGAATGCCAAATGGCACAGTCACTTTGAAAGACATTTGGCAGTTTTTTACAAAGCTAAATATTGTCTTACCATACAATCCAGTAATTGTTCTGTGAGGTATTTATCCAACTGAGTTGAAAACTTCTGTCCACACAAAAACCTGCACACAAAGTTTACAGCAGTTTTATTCATAATTGCAAAAACTGGAAGCAACCAAGATGCCCTTCAGTCGGTAAATGGATAAACTGTGTGGTACGTCGGACAATGGAATATTATTCAGTGATACAAAGAAAACTGCTATCAATCCACAAAAAGACATAGACGAACCATAAATGCCTGTTTCTAAGTGAAAGAAGCCAGATTGAAAAGGCTACATACTGTCTGCTTCCAACTATATGATGTTGTGGAAAAGGGAAAACTAAGGAGATAAGAAAAAGACCAGTGCTTGCCAGAGGCACAGAGGGAGGAGGGAGGGGAACAGGTGGAGCACAGGGGTGTTTTAGGTTGATAATGTTCTGTGTGATGCTGTCACAGTAGATACATGACTCCAGGCGTTTATCAATATCCACAGAACCTGGCAACACAGAGTAAACCCAACATGTGCAGGTTTTAAAAAGTTATTTAGGAGGTCGGGGACCCCAGCAGGAGTGTAGACTGTGACAAGAGAATGTAACCGTGTTACAGA